TTCTTGCTTACTCCATTCAATGAGTTTCCTTCTACATTTATTCAATCTCCACACAAACTCTTCACCTTTATTATTCATAAACATCACATAACCACCACTCTAGCCAGCAGCAACAGTCCCCTTAAAGTTCTGATGAGAAGCCCACACAGCATTGAACTTAAACATTTTAAGAATTTTCTCATCAAGATAACAGTAGTCAACAATTAGTAAGTGATGATTTGAACCCATAGGTTCAGAGTGAAACACTTGAGCTTTATCAAAGGTCTCCTTAAAAGAAACATTGCCATAACTCTTATCAATTCTTTCCCTAATGTTTGCACCCCCTTATCCTCCTATTACTCCAAGTAAATCTAGATCTATTGAATTCAAGATCAATTAAACCACAATCATCAATTAATCTTTAATAATTTAAGACTCTCCTCACTGCAACAGGTCTTCCACCCTCCTTCTCAGTTTGAGAGCCTACCTCATTAAAATCTCCTACACATAACTAAGAACTATCTACTCCTCTAGCTAAAGCCCTTAATCTCTACCACTCCACCACTTTGTCACTTTCTGTTGGAGCACCATATACAAAAGTAACAAATTCAGGTACAGCTTTAATAGTAGAACTCATTCTAACATGAATAAGATTTTTTGACTGATATAAAACAACCATATTAATCCCTTCTTGCCACCATAAAGCTAAGCCTCCAGACCTACCAATTGGTTCCATATATAACTCCTTCTCCAACCCACAAGACCTCTTAATTCTCTTCAAACAACTCCCAACAAGTTTAGTTTCCATAAGAAACATAATTGAGGATTTAAATTTTTTGTTACAATCCTTTAAGTTTTTAACCGTCAAGGCAACCCTCAAATGTTGACAGTTCTAAGAAAGAAGTTTCAATATGCCTTGGGGGCTGTTAAAGGCCAGCCACCCATGCCTTCAGCCAATACGTCCCTCCTTCTCCTACTATCATCAACCTTTACTTCACTGCCATTCTCATCAAGTATATGCTTTTTACCTTTCTTTTGAGAATTTTGCCTCAGTCTTGCTTTAGTCTTTCTCAAGTTCATAGCAAAATTTGAGATAAGAGAACCTTGTATGGTGTTGTTAGGCTCAACCTTAGATCTTTTCACATTCTTAGCTTCTAATGTCTCTTCTACCCCTCTCTTCAAAGACATTCTACTAAAATTTTCAACTACAACATTCAAATCCTTTTTCTCAAATATCATAATAGCCTTTAAATAATTGTCTTCATCATCTGGCTCTTCAACTTTATAAGCACAAGTATTCTCAACTTTCTAATTATCAGCACAATCAAATTGTTGACATATCTCATCAACCTTCAAACCACCAGACTTTTCTAATCCCTGATTATTTAAATAATCAAATCTTAACTCATCTTCATCACCAGTAAAACTGCATCCACTGGGACCATCCGCATGATCATGAGAATGGCTTTTATCAACATTGTAATAAGAAACAACCTTATTTTTATCCTTATTATCTCCTGACTCCAAATTGCTTTCAATAAAATTATTCTCAATCTTTTTTTCCAATTTTCTATTATTCCCCCTACTTCCAGAATTAGCAATGGGATTCACAGAAAAGATATCCTCACATTTATTAGCAATATGATGCTCCCTCTCCCTCTCTATATTCTTTAATTGCTGCCACTTCAAATTAGTTTCAAGCTAATCACTCTTAATCAATACAATAGCCTCTTCATAAGTCTTAACTTGGTTTTTAACAAGCCAAGCACCATAATGAGGCTCATTAAGATTCAAAACAGACATTAATCTTTCATGAGGACATGATCATAAAACATGACCAACATAACCATAATGAAAACAATAATCTTAAATCTTCTCATACCTTATCGTGAACCAAGTTTGATCACCATCTGGCTTAGGTAACCAAAAACCCACTGCCAAAGGCTTCCTCAAATCCAATATTACTCTAACCCGTAAAAAGCTATAGAGTATTTGATTATTATAACGTGGATTTTTAGCTATCACCACTTCACCTAATCGATTACCAATACGCACAACATTCTCAAGATTCATAGCCTCCAATGGAATTCTATGAAATTGAACCTACAGAGGGCATCTACTAAAATCACACTCCTCAATTACCATAAACTTCCTCCATTCCATTAGATTCAGAAGTTGACCATTGATCGGCCAAGGTCAACCTTGTAGTATTCGATTATATTCTTTCCTATCAGTAAATTTGAAGAAGAAAGTATTCTTTGCAATATCAACAACACTTACACCAGATAGAAGATTCCATGCTTTCTTCACCGATAATACCTTTCTAACAAGCACTTTCTGATCACTTTCCAACAGCCTCAATCGTAGCACGATTAATCTCCTTCACCGATAATACCTTTCCAACAAGCACTTTCTCTACCCCAACTTCATTCCAAACTAGAGGTTCAACAATCATATCCTCTGATTTAGTCATCGCAACATAAAATTGAATATACACCTCTACCAATCGTACGCCAGTCACTTTTTGATCACTTTCTGATCACTATCGCTATCCTTTGATCACAACGACCATCCTCCGAGCACCCTCCAACCCCAAAACCTCCATTCCTATTAAGAAACCGTTACACTCAACTAACTCTCTCACGTGAAGGCACAGGGAGAAACTTATGCTCCCATGTGCTAGGCACAGGGAAACTAATTTTGTAGAATAATACATATAGTGCAATTAATAAGGTGCATAATTCTTAATCTAAGGCTATATTTGAGAAGATGGTGTAGTGAGAAAGGTGTGGATTTTTTGAGTAATCTTTTCCCTTAAATGTATTCTTCCCTTCTGATCCCTCTGTATTTCTTCTCTTCCCTTTCCTTTTGAATTCTATAATTCTCTCCCCCTGTTGTATTTTTCCCTTTTTTTTATTTGCTATTAAGAGCTATTTGAATATATATAATTTCATAGGTTTAATTTAGACCATGACATAATGTCACATAATTTATTAATAATTTAAGTATTAATAGTTTTTGGTGCATAATTTATCTACAATTAATTATAATAGCCTTACATTAGTTCTCAATAGTTATGACAGTTGTGGTATGATTGAACAGTACTTCAAAGTTAACTAACTTAAGAATTGAGAGATCACCTTAGGCCATATCTATAAAGAAGAAAATTGATGTGCCAACTTGTTTATCCATCAAACATCTCGAGACAACTTCGATATTACGGTTTTAAACAACTCACCACCTTATGATTTTTCCAAGGTCTCAGACATGACTTGATCTTGATTGCCTTACAAGGGTTTTTTAAGGCCTAGTATTCCAAAAAAAAAAGAGGTTAACCAAATTATAGTAGATATATTTTTAAAATTGTAAATATAGATATATACATATAACTTTTCAATTTTACTATTTTTTATGATTAATAATCATAATAAATTATTGTCTAGAAAATTAAGTGATAATATATAAAAGAAAAATATAACTATTGGTCCTAACAGTTTTATTATGTTTTGTTATTGGTTTATGTACTTTTTTTAAAAAAAATTTGAGGTCCCTATAGCTTTCCTATCTACAACATTAGTCTTTTTATTTTTAAATATGATCAAAGAGACAATAATGTAGCATTAACAGTGTTATATTAGAACATTTGATGTATAAGATAAAAGGCTTGACCCATAATGACATGAAAATCACTATCTGACATTAACAAGTGCAGTTGCCAGAACAGTCTTCATCAAAAACCAATTATCCTTTTTTCACTTAGTGCTAAGTCAAATTGTCAAGTGTTTTAAGGATGTTAGCATCCTCATTAATGTTGTTAGTTACATATTAGATAATTTTAACACTTTTGTTAGTGCACGACATCATGCCTGTGGGTAAATTAAAATGTAGATGGACTAATGTTATAAATAAGAAAAACTAAAGGGATCTAGAATATTGAAAAAAGTACAACAATCAATAACAAAACACAATAAAACTACAGGGACTAATAGTTATGTTTTACCATAAATAAATAAGGGGTAGAATTGAAAAAAAATTTGATTAATCTAACTTTACCTTATATTAAGAACTAAAAGAAACTTTTAAACTTTATCTTATATCAAGAACCAGATGGAGCATATATTATGAATACTATATGTAAGATTCGTCAAACATAACTACAATTTAGATTGTTAGTTTCAAGGTAAAAGAAATTGACAAAACAAAATGAATTAGTTTTTGAAGAATAAAAATAAATTACTTCATTGTAAATGGCTAGGGGAAAAAACTTTATTTCCCTATTATCCACAGTTATAAACATTATGATTTGATTAAACAATTATCCGTATTGAAGGATTTTGAGTCATATGATTGATTCTTCTAGTTAATTCAATTAATATTATAGAAAATTATAACAATTAATTAAGGTAAAGAATCATCAAATTAAAGATGATTATACGAAACTTTTTATTATATGAATTGTAGACTTGTTCGATACTTGTCTCAGTTTTGAGTTCCGACTTAATGGTGACTCAACTCTAATTTAACTTAGCTCAATCATAAAAATAGTTTTTTGGTTCAAGCCAAGTAGTTAGCGAGTCCAATCAACGGTCCAACTAATCTAACCATTCAGTCGGGTTCTTTAAACTATAAAAAAATATTAAATAACTATTTAGTCAAAATCTTAGAATTCAATTTACAAGGCATATTCTATCTTGTTAAATTTGAATAAGGCACTTATTGTTTGAAGATAATGAGATTAAAAATAAGAAATGCTTTGATTCATTTTCTTATTTTAGAATGACTTAAAATTAATCTCCAACACCACAATCCAAAGCCAATAATTAAAATAGTATCAAGAGAAGGATATAGTATTGCCAATTCCTTTAATACCTGACATACAGAACAATTGCATGGATGCAAATGACATATTACTACAAATAATGTGTATTAGACAAACCACAAATCAAAATATAAAAGTAAATGTATAGTGCTAAAAATGAAAATGTCGAATCAGGTAGCTTTATAAGGAGTACACATAAACTTTAGGACTCAATGAAATCATCTAGCTTACTAGCCTTGTCACAAAAAGACACTATCGATGATTGCACAAGAGCTAAATCTTTCTTGATAGACTCAAGCTGAGCATTCAGTTTTAAAGCTTGATCTTCAGCCTCCTCAAGCTTCCTCTTGATGTCTTCCCCATCACCACATTCCTCAATACGGCTATGCACATACTTGATCCATGAATAATCAAAACCAACCCCTTGTAAGGCGGCACAACACTCTTTAATGTAGTTTCGATCATCCTCTGTCAATTCACCTCTTCGAGTGGTTCTCAAAAGGCGAGTCACCTCAGCAAATAAGGAAAAGAAGGAGGAAGCAAACATCCTTCTTCGTTTTACTTTCAGCCAATCAAGCACTTGAGGATGTTGCTTTACCCCAGCCTCCAAATATGGCATGTCTTTTTCAGGAATGTCAATCATTCCCTTATAGTTATTATAAATGTTGGATTCTTGTATTGATGAATTCATAGGATCTGGAGGTTGTGAATGTGATGAATCAATAGCCAAATTAAAAAACACACAACAAAAAATAGGTTAAATCAATAATGAGAAAAGAGAAAATTATCTTGCTAAAAAGATATATAAATCATGTGATTCTTTAGTAAACACCATGATAGAATAATTATTAGTCCATTCGATAAAACTAATCAAAAAAAAGAAAAAATTAATACATATAAAATAGGATAAGAACTTGTATTTTGTACTGTAGCAAGTTTTACTGCATCTAGGTCACTTTGAATCAAGGGTTTCTTTGTGGTGTCATGAATCTCTTGAGTTCAAAAGACTAGAAAGTAGTGAGAAAAGCATTATAAGAAAGGAAACTCTCATGTAAAATTTCACTGGAGCTTGCAAGACAAAATCATTACATGCATTAAGAATTGTGGAAGGGTTTGGTTCATTTTGATTAGCTAAAATTGAAGGCTTCTTAATAGTGTTGCACAACTATTGAGCCTTAACATATGAATCATGTGATTCTTCTAGTAGATTTTTATTAAGACTGTGGTAGAATAATTATTATTTCATCCAAAGAATACTACCTAAAAAAAGAGAAAGAGAAAAGAAATAAAACAAATAAGAACCTGTAGTTTGTGCTGTGGTAAGTTTCTCTGCATCTTGGTCACTTTGAATCAAGGGTTTCTCTAGGGTGTCATGAATCTCTTGAGTTTCAATAGCTAGAAAGCAAAGAAAAAAACATTATAAGACAGGAAACTCTCTTGCACAATTTCATTGAAACTTGTAAGACAAAATCATTACCTGCATTAGGAATTGTGGAAGAGTTTTGTTCATTTTGAGCAGTTGGAATTGAAGGTTTCTTGGTGGTGTCGCACATCTCTTGAGTCTCAACATACGAATCATGTGATTGTTCTGGAAGATTTTTATTAACACCATGGTAGAATAATTGTTATTTCATCTAAAGAATACTACCTTAAAAAAGAGAAAGAAAAGGGAAACAAAACAAATAAGAACCTATTGCTTGTGCTGTGGCAAGTTTCTCTGCATCTTGGTCAATTTGAATTAGGGCCTTCTCCGTGGTGTCACGAACCTCTTGAGTTCTCATAGCTAGGAAGTAGTGAAAAAAGAAAGAGATTTTTATTATGAATCATGAGTCTCAACATATGAATCATGTGATTCTTCTAGTAGATTTTTATTAAGACCATGGTAGAATGATTGTTATTTCATCCAAAAAATACTATCTAAAAAAAGAGAAAGAGAAAAGAAACAAAACAAATAAGAACCTCTAGTTTGTGCTGTGGCAAGTTTCTCTGCATCTTGGTTGCTTTGAGTCAAGGATTTCTCTGTGGTGTCACGAATCTCTTCGATTTCAATAGCTAAAAAGTAGTGAAAAAAGCATTATAAGATAGGAAATTCTCTTACAAAATTTGACTGGAGCTTGTAAGACAAAATCATTACCTGCATCAAGATTTGTGGAAGAGTTTTGTTCATTCTGATCAGCTGGAATTGAAGGCTTCTTGATGGTGTCGCACATCTCTTGAGTCTCAACATGTGAATCACGTGATTCTTCTAGAAGTTTTTATTAACACCGTGGCAGAATAATTGTTATTTCATCTAAAGAATACTACCTTAAAAAGGAGAAAGAAAATGGAAACAAAATAAATAAGAACCTCTGGTTTGTGCTGTGGTAAGTTTCTCTGCATCTTGGTCACTTTGAGTCAATGATTTCTCCGTGGTGTCACGAATCTCTTTAGTTTCAATAGCTAGAAAGTAGTGAAAAAAGCATTATAAGATAGGAAATTCTCTTACAAAATTTGACTGGAGCTTGCAAGATAAAATCATTGCTTGTATCAAGATTTATGGAAGAGTTTTGTTCATTCTGATCAGCTGGAATTGAAGGCTTCTTGATGGTGTCGCACATCTCTTGAGTCTCAATATATAAATCATGTGATTCTTCTAAAAGATTTTTATTAACACCGTGGCAGAATAATTGTTATTTCATCCAAAGAATACTAACTTAAAAAAAGGAAAACAAAACAAATAAAAACCTCTAGTTTATGCTGTGGCAATTTTCTCTATATCTTGGTCACTTTGTATTAAGGGTTTCTCCGTAGTGTCATAAATCTCTTGAGTTTCAATAGCTAGAAAGTAGTGAAAAAAGCATTATAAGACTGGAAATTCTCTTACAAAATTTGACTGGAGCTTGTAAGACAAAATCATTACCTGCATCAAGATTTGTGGAAGAGTTTTGTTCATTCTGATCAGCTGGAATTGAAGGCTTCTTGATGGTGTCGCACATCTCTTGAGTCTCAACATGTGAATCACGTGATTCTTCTAGAAGTTTTTATTAACATCGTGGCAGAATAATTGTTATTTCATCTAAAGATACTACCTTAAAAAGAGAAAGAGAAGGGAAACAAAACAAATAAGAACCTATTGCTTGTGCTGTGGCAAGTTTCACTGCATCTTGGTCAATTTGAATCAGGGCCTTCTCCGTGGTGTCACGAACCTCTTGAGTTCTCATAGCTAGGAAGTAGTGAAAAAAGAAAGAGATTTTTATTATGAATCATGAGTCTCAACATATGAATCATGTGATTCTTCTAGCAGATTTTTATTAACATTATGGTAGAATAATTTTTAGTTCATCCAAAGTATACTGCCCAAAAAAAAGAGAGAGGAAAAGGAAACAAAAAGTAAGAACCTATGGTTTGTGCTGTGGCAAGTTTCTCTCCATCTTGGTCACTTTGAGTTAAGGGTTTCTCTATAGTGTCACGAATCTCTTGGGTTTCAATAGCTGAAAAGTTGTAAAAAAAAAAGCATTATAAGACAAGAAACTCTCTTACAAAATTTCACTGGAGCTTGCAACACAAAATCATTACCTGCATTAGGAATTGTGGAAGAGTTTGGTTCATTTTGATCACCTGGAATTGAAGGCTTCTTGATGGTGTCGGTTAACTCTTGAGCCTCAACATGTGAATCATGTGATTCTTCTAGTAGATTTTTATTAAGACCATGGTAGAATGATTGTTATTTCATCCAAAGAATACTATCTAAAAAAAAGAGAAAGAGAAAAGAAACAAAACAAATAAGAACCTCTAGTTTGTGCTGTGGCAAGTTTCTCTGCATCTTGGTTGCTTTGAGTCAAGGATTTCTCTGTGGTGTCACGAATCTCTTCGGTTTCAATAGCTAAAAAGTAGTGAAAAAAGCATTATAAGATAGGAAATTCTCTTACAAAATTTGACTGGAGCTTGCAAGACAAAATCATTACCTGCATCAAGATTTATGGAAGAGTTTTGTTCATTCTGATCAGCTGGAATTGAAGGCTTCTTGATGGTATCGCACATCTCTTGAGTCTCAACATATGAATCACGTGATTCTTCTAGAAGTTTTTATTAACACCGTGGCAGAATAATTATTATTTCATCTAAAGAATACTACCTTAAAAAGGAGAAAGAAAAGGGAAACAAAACAAATAAGAACCTCTAGTTTGTGCTGTGGCAAGTTTCTCTGCATCTTGGTCACTTTGAGTCAATGATTTCTCCGTGGTGTCACGAATCTCTTCAGTTTCAATAGCTAAAAAGTAGTGAAAAAAGCATTATAAGATAGGAAATTCTCTTACAAAATTTGACTGGAGCTTGCAAGACAAAATCATTACCTGCATCAAGATTTGTGGAAGAGTTTTGTTCATTCTGATTAGCTGGAATTGAAGGCTTCTTGATGGTGTCGCACATCTCTTGAGTCTCAACATATAAATCACGTGATTCTTCTAGAAGTTTTTATTAACATCGTGGCAGAATAATTGTTATTTCATCTAAAGATATTACCTTGAAAAAGAGAAAGAGAAGGGAAACAAAACAAATAAGAACCTATTGCTTGTGCTGTGGCAAGTTTCACTGCATCTTGGTCAATTTGAATCAGGGCCTTCTCCGTGGTGTCACGAACCTCTTGAGTTCTCATAGCTAGGAAGTAGTGAAAAAAGAAAGAGATTTTTATTATGAATCATGAGTCTCAACATATGAATCATGTGATTCTTCTAGCAGATTTTTATTAACATTATGGTAGAATAATTTTTAGTTCATCCAAAGTATACTGCCCAAAAAAAAGAGAGAGGAAAAGGAAACAAAAAGTAAGAACCTATGGTTTGTGCTGTGGCAAGTTTCTCTCCATCTTGGTCACTTTGAGTCAAGGGTTTCTCTATAGTATCACGAATCTCTTGGGTTTCAATAGCTGGAAAGTTGTAAAAAAAAGCATTATAAGACAGAAAACTCTCTTACAAAATTTCACTGGAGCTTGCAACACAAAATCATTACCTGCATTAGGAATTGTGGAAGAGTTTAGTTCATTTTGATCACCTGAAATTGAAGGCTTCTTGATGGTGTCGGTTAACTCTTGAGCCTTAACATGTGAATCATGTGATTCTTCTAGTAGATTTTTATTAAGACCATGGTAGAATAATTGTTATTTCATCCAAAGAATACTATCTAGAAAAAGAGAAAGAGAAAAGAAACAAAACAAATAAGAACCTCTAGTTTGTGCTGTGGCAAGTTTCTCTGCATCTTGGTTGCTTTGAGTCAAGGATTTCTCTGTGGTGTCACGAATCTCTTCGGTTTCAATAGCTAAAAAGTAGTGAAAAAAGCATTATAAGATAGGAAATTCTCTTACAAAATTTGACTGGAGCTTGCAAGACAAAATCATTACCTGCATCAAGATTTGTGGAAGAGTTTTGTTCATTCTGATCAGCTGGAATTGAAGGCTTCTTGATGGTGTCGCACATCTCTTGAGTCTCAACATATGAATCACGTGATTCTTCTAGAAGATTTTTATTAACTCCATAGCAGAATAATTGTTATTTCTTCTAAAGAATACTACCTTAAAAAAGAGAAAGAAAAAGGAAATAAAACAAATAAGAACCTCTGGTTTGTACTGTGGCAAGTTTCTCTGCATCTTGGTCACTTTGAGTCAACGGTTTCTCCTTGGTGTCCTGAATCTCTTGAGTTCCAATAGCTAAAAAATAGAGAGAAAAAAAAAAGAAAGATTTTTATTATGAATGATCTATCTTAACATATGAATCACGTGGTTCTTCAAGCATATTTTTATTAACACCGTGGTAGAATAATTTTTATTTCATCTAAAGAATACTACCTTAAAAAAGAGAAAGAAAAGGGAAACAAAACAAATAAGAACCTCTGGTTTGTGCTGCGGTAAGTTTCTCTGCATCCTGGTCACTTTGAATCAAGGTTTTTTCCATGGTGTCATGAATCTCTTGAGTTTCAATTGCTAGAAAATAGTCAAAAAAGAATTATAAGAAAGGAAATTCTCCTCCAAAATTTCACTAGAGCTTGCAAGACAAAATCATTACTTGCATCAGGAATTGTAGAAGACTTTAGTTCATTCTAAGCAGTTGGAATTGAAGGCTTATTGATAGTGTCGCACATCTCTTGAGTCTTAACATATGAATCATTTCATTTTTTTTGGTAGATTTTTATTAACACTATGATAGAATAATTGTTATTTTATTCAAAGAAAAATACCTAAAAAATGAGAAAGAGAAGGGAAACAAAACAAATAAGAACCTCTGGTTTGTGCTGTGGCAAGTTTCTCTGTATCTTGATCACTTTGAGTCAAGGCTTTCTTTGTAGTGTCAGGAATCTCTTCAGTTTCAATAGCTAGAAAGGAGTGAAAAAAGCATTATAAGATAGGAAATTCTCTTACAAAATTTAGTTGAAGCTTGCAAGAGAAAATCATTACCTGCATCAAGATTTGTGGAAGAGTTTTGTTCATTCTGATAAACTCGAATTGAAGGCTTCTTGATGGTGTCACACATCTCTTGAGTCTCAACATATGAATCAAGTGATTCTTCTAGAAGATTTTTATTAACACCGTGGTAGAATAATTGTTATTTCATCCAAAGAATACTACTTTAAAAAAGAGAAAGAGAAGGGAAACAAAACAAATAAGAACCTCTAGTTTGTGCTGTGGCAAGTTTCTCTGCATCTTGGTTGCTTTGAGTCAAGGATTTCTCTGTGGTGTCACGAATCTCTTCGGTTTCAATAGCTAAAAAGTAGTGAAAAAAGCATTATAAGATAGGAAATTCTCTTACAAAATTTGACTGGAGCTTGCAAGACAAAATCATTACCTGCATCAAGATTTGTGGAAGAGTTTTGTTCATTCTGATCAGCTAGAATTGAAGGCTTCTTGATAGTGTCACACATCTCTTGAGTCTCAACATATGAATCACGTGATTCTTCTAGAAGATTTTTATTAACACCATGGTAGAATAATTATTATTTTATTTAAAGAACAATACCTAAAAAAAGAGGAAGAGAAGGGAAACAAAACAAATAAGAACCTATAGTTTGTGCTGTGGCAAGTTTCTCTACATCTTGGTCGCTTTGAGTCAAGGGTGTCTCCATGGTGTCACGAATTTCTTCAGTTTCAATAGCTAGAAAGTAGTGAAAAAAGCATTATAAGACAGGAAATTCTCTTACAAAATTTCACTAGAGCTTGCAAGACAAAATCATTACCTGCATCAGGAATTGTGGAAGAGTTTTGTTCATTCTGATCAGCTAGAATTAAAGGCTTCTTGATGGTGTCGCACATCTCTTGAGTCTCAATATATGAATCATGTGATTCTTCTAGAAGATTTTTATTAACACCGTGGCAGAATAATTGTTATTTCATCCAAAGAATACTAACTTAAAAAAAGGAAAACAAAACAAATAAAAACCTCTAGTTTGTGCTGTGGCAAGTTTCTCTATATCTTGGTCACTTTGTATTAAGGGTTTCTCCGTAGTGTCATAAATCTCTTGAGTTTCAATAGCTAGAAAGTAGTGAAAAAAGCATTATAAGACTGGAAATTCTCTTACAAAATTTGACTGGAGCTTGCAAGACAAAATCATTACCTGCATCAAGATTTATGGAAGAGTTTTGTTCATTCTGATCAACTAGAATTGAAGGCTTCTTGATGGTGTCGCACAACTCTTGAGCCTCAACATATGAATCATGTGATTCTTCTAATAGATTTTTATTAAGACCGTGGTATAATAATTGTTATTTCATCCAAAGAATACTATCTAAAAAAAGAGAAAGAGAAAAGAAACAAAACAAATAAGAACCTGTAGTTTGTACTGTGGCAACTTTCTCTACATTCTGGTCATATTGAATCAAGGGTTTCTCTGAGGTGTCATGAATCTCTTGAGTTTCAATAGCTATAAAGTAGTGAAAAAGCATTATAAGACAGGAAACTCTCTTATAAAATTTCATTGGAGCTTGTAAGACAAAATCATTACTTGCATCAGGAACTGTGGACAAGTTTGGTTTATTCTGATCAGCTAGAATTGAAGGCTTTTTGATAGCGTCACACATCTCTTGAGTCTTATATGAATCACATGATTCTTCTAGCAGATTTTTATTAACACCATGGTAGAATAATTGTTATTTCATCCAAAGAATACTACTTAAAAAAAAGGAAAAGAGAAGGGAAACAAATCAAATAAAAACCTATGGCTTGTGCTGTGGCATGTTTCTTTGCATCTTGGTCACTATGAATTAAGGGTTTCTCCATAGTGTCATGAAGCTCTTGAGTTTCAATAGCTGAAAAGTAGTGAAAAATGCATTATAAGTTTGGAAACTCTCTTGCAAAATTTCACTGGTGCTTGCAAGACAAAATTAGTACCTGCATTAAGAATTATTGTTGGGTTTGGTTCATTCTGAGCAGCTGGAATTAAAGGTTTCTTAATGGTGTTGCACATCTCTTTAGGCTCAACATATGAATCATGTGATTCTTCTTACAAATTTTTAGTAACACCATGGTAAAATAATTGTTAGCTTATCCAAAAAATACTACCAAAAAAAAGAGAAAGAAAAAGTAAATAAAATAAATAAGAACCTATGGTTTGTGCTATAGTAAGTTTCTCTGTATCTTTATCACTTTGAATCAAGGTTTTCTCTGTGGTGTCATGAATATCTTGCGTTCCAATATCTAGAAAGTAATGGAAAAAGCATTATAAGGCTAGAAACCCTCTTGCAATTCTACTGGAGCTTGCAAGACAAAATCATTACCTACATCAGGAATTATGTAAGAGTTTGGTTCATTATGAGTAGCTAGAATTGAAGGCTTTTTGGTGGTATCACACATCTCTTGCGTCTCGACATATGAATCATGTGATTCTTCTAGTAGATTTTTATTAACACCATGGTATAATAATTATTAGTTTATCCAAAGAATACTACCCAAGAAAAGAGAAAGAAAAAGGAAACAAAACAAATAAGAACCTATGGTTTGTACTGTGGCAAGTTTCTCTACATCTTGGTCACTTTGAATCAAGGGTTTCTCAGTGGTGTCATGAATCTCTTGAGTTCCAATAGCTAGAAAGTAATGGAAAAAAAATTATAAGAGAGGATTTTTTTAATATAAAAATAAATTAATAACTTCCTTCTAAAGAGCAAGTAAGTCCATTATTGTCTTTCTTGTCACTAGTTACAAAGGTTGTGGGCTGGTTGAGCATATTCTCCTTAGGACATGTTGTTGGCTCATGTGATTGTTCTAAGGAATTTCAGTTAACATGATAGAAAGATAGAATTATTAACTAACTAATTAATTAATTAATCAAGAGTAATAGATCAAAGATCCATCAAAATTAAATAAGGTTAGAACCTTCATCTTGTACTGCATCTGATCTTTGTGCTTCCTGGGCAGTTTGAATAAAGGGTTTCTCAATAGTCTCGTTCACATCTTGAGTCAAAAAGTCCAAAAAAAAAAAATTCATGAAAATACTCAGCAAATAGAATGACATGATATATAGTAAAGAAAACAGAAAAAAAAAATGCTTCCAAAAGTTAAAGCACAAGAAGTCATTTGAGGGTTTCTTCTCTTACATATTTAAGTTGGCATAACAGAAGATTATAGTAGTTAATTAACCAAAAGAATACTACAACAATGTCATTTGACACAAAAGAAGTCATTTATGATAAAGTTAAGACAACAAAATAAGATGAATATATAATTTCCAAATTGGGATTTAGATCACATGCAGTAGCTAGCGCACAATGTCTGGGAAGTGTGTCCACAATAGCCATTGGATTGTTCTTGTGGATGAGAGAGGCATTGGTGTAAAAGTAATTTATTAGCTGTCAACACACACAAACAAAATATGGGGATATCAACCAGATACTCAGATTTCCCTTCCATGATGCTTAAAGTCGATTTATAATCCCAAATCCATATGGAAAAGACAAAAATCAACGAGATTTGTGGCAAAAGAACAATAAATCTGTTGAAGACCACAACCACCATAATCGATATGAATTCTTTTTTTCTTTTGGTTCTCAACAGATTTTTTTTCATATGGAAAAGACAAAAATCAACGAGATCTGTGGCAAAAGAAAAAAAAAATCTGTTGAGGACCAAAAGAAAAAAAATTCATATTGATTATGGTGGTTATGGTCCTCAACAGATTTTTTTTTTTTGCTTTTGCCACAGATCTGGTTGATTTTTGTCTTTTCCATATGAATTTCAAGTTTTGGTTGATTTTATGTTTCATAGATGATTTTATTTATGTTTTTGTTGATTTTGTTGGCCATGGATGTGGGGATTATATATTGACTTTGAGTATCATGGAAGGGAAATCTGAGTATCTAGTTGATATCCCCAAATTTTGTTTGTGTGTGTGACTGCTAATAAATTACTTTTACACTAATGCCTCTCTCATCCACAAGATCGATCTAATGGCTACTGTGGGCACACTTCCCAAACACTGCACACGAACCACTGCATGTGATCCCAATCCTGAATTGAGACCCTATCATTGGTGTCATGCATCCTTTGACTTTCCTTAGCTAAACAAAAAAAAATGTTAAAAAAAAATTTATGAAATAGAGTAACATAAAATTTTGGAAATTTTTTTTAAAAAGAAATGATTTTTTCTCTTATTATCAGTTTCTTTTTAAAAGTTTTGATTGGATTCAATAAAATCTCTTCAGCTCGAATTTTTTGAGTCATATGATTTTGTTAATCCTATTGATCAATCCACCCAATAGAGAGACTTAGAATTAGTAATTTATCCTGAGTACTATTGGAAGTCATTAAAAAATAACACAATAATTTAGACCATTAGTTTGTTTTTCTAAAAAGTAAGTAAATAAAATGAATGCATGTTTTAAAAGAATTCGACCAAAAAATGATTTAAAAGAAAAAATAAATATGATTTCTTCATTGAAAAGAGTTTAGAATACATTTTTCCAATTTGTGTTTTCGACATTTATAGACATTGTGATCTACTTGAACAAGTTATCACTGAGGGATTTCCGGGTCGTCATATCATTAATCCTCTTGTTAATTTCAGTTAATAAATGTGATACAAAATTTAAAAAAAAAAAACTAATCAAGCCAATGAATCATCAAACATAGTAGAATAGAAGTTCATTATTAGAAAATTGAAGACTGCAAGACGAGAGAACAACCTGATTGAATCAAAGGTCTCGTGCATCTCTCAGTTCTATTATCTAAACAAATAAATGAAATAAAAAGAAAACATAATTTTTAATCTCTGCACTTTACTTAAGTTTTATTATTGGTTCCTACATTTTTTTTTTATATTTTTGGTTCCTACATATTTATTTCTCATTATTTTAAATCCCTTCAAGTAGAGGGATCTAAAATAACAAAAAACAAAAGTGTAGGAATCTAAAACACTAAAAAAAATTATAAAGATTAATAATAAAATTCGAGCAAAATGTAGGGGTCTTAAATTATATTTGTCCTAAAATAAAACACATATTGACACAAGATTTTTGTAAAATAAATATAAATGCTGCTAGGGTGAATTTCTGAATAATTTGTTCATTCCAATAGATTTTAATTAGAATCACAAATAAGCCAAGAAGTATTATAACAGAGTCATAGCACAAGGAAAAAGCAATTCTAGATCATTAATAAAGATTTACAAAGTAAAAAACCAGATCAGAACCTATGTCCTGTATTGTAGCAGGGGTTTGTGCTTTCTGGGCAGTTTCATTCATTATTGCTGGAGTAAAAAAAATAAAGTTTTTAAAATAATTAGAAAAAAAAAATGACACAATCTTGTAAAAAAAAGTTTAAAAAAAAAAATACTTCCTCTCCTAAAAAGTTAAAGCTGCATTTGTTGATGTAGTGGGAAAATGGAGAAACAAGACAGCATCAAGAAAACCTGCATGTTGAGGATCCGTTGATAAGATATTTTCCTTTTGCTCTTTATCATCAGATGGACTTGGAAGCTTGTGAATTTCTTGTTTGGTTGTATCCTCCAAGCTTGATGCTCCATTAATTTCTGATACTTTTCTTGAAGATTCCTCGTAATCTCCTTTATCTCTTTCCCCAATGGCCTAAGTAAGGTAGGCATGTAAACAACATATGACAGCAATAAATATTTACATTCAATAATTTTATCTGTTTATTTGAGGTTTGCGTAATTGTTTTTTTGTCAATAAAAAATTAAGTTACTTAAACCGATATAGTTTGCAAACGAATGATCCTTTTTTTGTCAACAAATTAATTAGCCAGTTTTCTTTTATTTCAACAGGTTAGTTAACTAAAGGATGTAAATGATAATAAAAAAGGGAGTGGAAGGTGCTCTTTAGGGCATATAAATGATAATAAAAAGGGAGTGGGAGGTGGTAATACCCCCAACTTTCCTAGGATACCGGAATAAAAAAAACGATAATAATAAAAAGGCCAAAATAATTTTCTTAAAAAAAATAGCAATTGGCTACTATTTTGTACCTAGCTACCACTTAACCAAAAGAGATTTAAGAAAGGTCAATATATAAAGAAAAAATGATATTAATTGTGGCTGTTTTCAAAATAATTGGCTAAATAAAAACTTACATTATCTTGGAAGATCTTGATTAGTGCAGTATTAAGGTCACCTTGCAAGTGGTTTTCTTTCTGTGTTATAACATTCCCAAGCTTTGGCATGTGTGTTTTTCCCAAAGAGAAGATCTCCATTCTTGGGCATTTGCTGATACAAACTCTCCATAACTGTGGAAGCTCCAATGAACAATTGCTTGAGCAAAACATTTTGAATTTTGGCAAACATTCAAGTTCCAAAACATCTAAGCTGTTGAATGAAATTACATCTTTGGGCTCATCTCTCTCTTCTGCCACAACTTGCTCTAGTGAATAGCAGTTCCTTATTTTCATTGTTGTTAATTTGACAAGACTTCTTGCTGTTGATGAGGTAAATAAGTCAATCAATCCACTGCAATCTTCGACTTCTAAATCTGTTAGGTGATTAAAAGTTGCAGAGGAAGGTAGCAGGTGCTTCAATTTGGAACATCCACCCACATATAAGACTTCAAGAATCTCAAGAACTGGGTCCATTGGGAATCCTTCTTTACATATGTGCTGGAGTTCATGCAATTGATTGAGCGTCAATTCTTTGATTCGGGTTTGAATCCCATTTTGCCTGCCATGTTGGAACATCTCCTTGAAAGAACTATGTTCAACAAGCAGTGTTTGGAGAGTGGTTATGTTTTGTACAAACCAATACGGAAATGTAGCTTGCCCATCTGTAAAGTGGGCCAAATATAGAGATTTGAGTTTGCTGAAGTTCTCTCCAGAAAATTGACCTTGTAATATCACCCTAGCATCTTCATAGTTGAGGCCCAACGTCTCCAAGTTGCAAATCACCTATACCAGATAAGTGCATGTAAACAAATGAAAATATCTAAGGTAAAACAATTTTATTATACTAGAAATTTTGTCCAAAGCAATGGGAAACGATCTGATACAGCACACATAGCTAGCTAACAGACTTGATTCACCCTAGAAAAATTAGAAACCCATGCGTTAATGTCCATGGTTTCACGTTTGGGGCATTATAATACTAATTCATACCTCTTCAAGTGGGAAAGAAGACTTTTGCATTGAGACTTGCAGACTACGATCAAAGACTCTTCCTTTGCTGCTAGCACCCTGTTTCATGAATAGCTCCCATTTGAAACAACCGCGGACATCTAATTCCTTCAATGATGGACATGCTAAACTGTGATTTCCAGCAAAAAACCCTCGGAGTTCTGTTAAATTCCAAAGGACTAATGAGCTCATACGATTAAATTCAAATTTTGGAGGACAATCTAAGGGCCGTGCTTTGGCTGAAACAATTTCCTTTATCTTCCATGCATCCTTTATGGTAATTTCTTCAAGCTGAGGCAGATCCATGGCTATGGAAAATGGAAAAATGTATTCTAGAGCATTACAGTCTTCAACGTGTACAACTTGCAGATTATGAAGGCGAAGGCTTGTTTGAGGATCTCTACTCCACATTTGCTTCGGCTGTGCACATAACAAACCGAGTTTTTGTAATTTACAAACTGTTCATAATTTCCAACTAAGCTCCCAGGTTTTAGAACTCAAATACGACAAGATTGAAAATTTGTTTACATATCTGTACATAAAGTCAAATTTATAAGAATAGTGAAAAGTAAGTGATTCAATAATGTCTTGTTAGTTGGCCTAAAAAAAAAAAATTGTCTTGTTGAGATCTAAAAATGGCTTAACCGTATTCAATAATTTACTGCTATGATTTTTGGAATGTAGTTAGTCATGGGAGAGTCCATTATCTTTTTTACAAATGTAAGTATTTCATAGTAATTAATACTATTTGAATTAAAAGAGTTAATTACATATGGAAATGATGCATCACAAACTTTGATTCTTCAACTATACACATTAGGTATTCTAAATTTTTGCAGTGCATTATCCCCGTTCAACATTAGAAAAAGTTGCAATATTGTATCCACTGTTAATTTTAATTGTTAGTTAATTTAAAAAATTATATTAAATAATCTTAAAAATTACACCAAAAAAAGGACTCAAAAAATTACATTAAGTCTCATAAATTACAGATAAATTTTTAAAGATTAATGTTATTTCTTATTCATGTAAAAACGTTAGTTCCTAGGATTTTCAAAGTAATTATTCCATTTCATGGTACTCTTTTATCATTTAGTTATTTGGATGGGATTTATTTGTCATTCTTCCTAAAATAACTATAAAGTTTTTCTCAAAGTTACACAAAATATTTACTATAAAAATATAACAACTGAATAATTATTTCAAGAAACAAATGTTATTTTTAATCTATGTAAAATACTAAAATATCATTTTGACAACCAATTTAACTGGCAAATAATTGTTAAGTCACAACGGTTGACAACAATGTTAGTTGATTAAAAAATAATATATTTGTTTCAATAATATATTATTCAAATATTAATACTTTAATATGTAATAATTTAAATTTTATTATTATATCTATTCTCAAAATTTTAAATATTATTTCACAATTCAAAACACACTCACTTGTAAATAATAGATACACTAGTCAAGTTGTAAGTTTTTAGAGAATTTGTAAATATCAAAAGTTAATAATTGGGGCAATATTGTATTATTTTCGAATGTTAAAATCGGATGTTGTGTCACAAAAAATTTAAGACATTAAAAGCTTCCTATATGAATAGCTAAGGGGCAAAAATATACATTAATCTAAAAAAATTTGTAGAAAATGAAACTCTTATGTGTGAAAATGTCTGAACCAATATTTACAATCTAAATCATTAACTAGTAATTATTTTGCATAACGTATGATTAAATACTTCAACACCATAAAAAAAATTCTTTAAAACTAGAAGCAGAAGGCTTGGTAATTGGCTTCAAAGCGCGCTACGAAACAAGGATACAAAAGCTAAGAGAACAAATAATTATAATTATAATTAATTATAATTATTAATTATAAATTGTATGTTTGTGTTTTATTATTAATATGCAAACAATATTTTCCTACTATTTATTGGGAATAAATATGATGAAATTAAACTTATGAAAAATATTCAAAATATATAATCTAAACAAGTTGAGAAGCCAATGCCACACCTGTCTAATGGAATATGCTGGTTGCTGATGCTGAATAGCACCTTCTTCTCCTCCTCCTTCTTCTATTGTTGTTTCTCTAGAACTGACAATTTTTTGAAAGTTCTGTTTCCATATGTCTTTGAGCATAGGTAGACGAAGGAGAGTCATTCTCTTCAGCTGAATGGTTTCCTTCACTGACACTTCCTTTCCACTCACATTGCTTAAATCAAACACAGCTTTTAGTGAATCACATTCACTTACTTCAAGCTCTTCTAAGTTGGATAGTCCACGCAGCAAATTTAACGGTAGGAGCACATCTGATAAAAACTCACTTTTATGCACTACTAGCTTTCTCAAATTACCAAACATTTCTGGCTTAAATTCTTGGCTGTACCACAATTCTCTTAACTCAGGGTATTGAGTCATGAAGCTACGGAATTCCCCCTGCAAAAATTGATGTGTACTGTTGGTTAAAAAGAAAAGTAAAGACCGTTAAAGCAAACCAAAAACAATTGGCCTTTTCAAACAGTTTGTCCATAACAAGTTCCTACTATAGGTCCAAAAAAAATTGAATGGAGTCATTTTTCCCCTCTTATATTTACAAGAAATTTTTGAGCCAAATCAAAACATACCATATCCACAAACATCTTTTTAATTGTTCTATTGAAGTCACCATTCTATTACATTTTTTTTCATCTTCTTCCTTTGATAGTATCTTTTGAAGCATTGGGTTACTTGTGTCTCTCTCAAAATATTGGTAGGGATTATCTCAATTCCACGCATGCTCAAATCCAATATTTTAAGATGAGTCAATTGTCCTATATCACAAGGGAACTCCTTCATGGATGAATTGATGAAGCTAAGAATTTCTAAATTTATCAAGACACCCATTCCAATCATATCATACAAAGTGTAGTGATATAAACATAATGTCTTAAGTTTGGTCAATGAAACAAGAGATATTTCATCTGCCTAACTCAACTTTTGGATTAGTCCTCTTTTGGATTACCCTACCAGCAGAAACACAAGTTTGTTCATTCAAAACCATCTCAAGAATCTCATCTGCCCTAATATCTTCTCAAAGCACAATGATCAATCATCATCTATTGGCAAAGACATTTATCATTGTGGCTGTTTTTTTCTCAAAAATGTTCTTCTCTATTTTATCAGCAAATCAATTTCCTTATTATTACTTTTAGTCTTTTCCTTCCCCATGTAACTTTGAACTTTGATTAATATAATTTTCCTTTTAATCCAAAAAAAAACTCTTGAACTCGATAGTGGCTTCTAAGTTGGCATATAAACAGATAAATGGCATAAGAATATAACTGTAAGTAAACTCATAAATAATAAGCAAATATTATCAAAAAAGATTCTAAATGGGTGAGATTTCATGTTATGACAGCAAGAAATAGTTGCACTAGAGTCAAAACATGGAATGGAAATATTAGAATTACTAAAATTTATTTGTTCCAGGCATTTTTGCAGTAGATGAGTCACAATATGATATATTAAAATCACATTGCCATTCCTTAAAAGAAATTTCATCTTAATTAAGTGAACATGACTTTTTTAAATTATTTGGTTTTATATATTTTTGTTGAAAATGAAAACTATTTGTGAAGATTCATTAAAGAAAAGCTTCAGTTAAATAGATTGATGTTATGTGGGTTGAGCCTGTGCATTTGAAAACTTTATGACTAAAGTAGTCACCAAGCCGGTGGTTTACGTTATGGCATTGGGCTCAGTATGGTTGTATATTAGAACAGAGACCCAAAACTCAGACGTTGCATGGGGGATCCCAATATTTATGAGATTTTTTTTTTTTTTCTAAGATAGAATGAAAAGATAGGGAGGGAAAAAAAAAAAAGAAAACAAGGGGACAAAAAAATTGGATGAGGAGAGAATAGGAAGGTAGAAAAAACTGGAGATAAAATAAGTGGTAGGTCCTACTATTTTTTCCTCCCAAATTTTCTGTTCATGTATTCCCTCTATTTTCATGAAACTATCATTGTTAAACTTTTTTTTATATAAATAAAATCACATTTTTCAATGAGTATTTATTGAACTTTTTAAATTATCCTTCATAATTTTTTCATTTATAGTCATAAGAAATAATTAATAAAAGCTTGATTAAGACAATTAATGAAGAGAATTACAGTCTAATTCTTTTATTTTCAAACACAATTAATATAATTAACTAATTTTCTTAAACTGTATGATATAATTTTTTTTTACAAATAAAAATGGAGGGAGTGTGATGAGATTTTGTAGAAAAAATACATTTTTCAATGTTGTTGCCCCTTCTCCATATCCACCACCTCCCCTCATTGTCTTGTGTATTGTTTTAAGAACCAGATTAGATAGTCAAATTGGTCAGACTATTGACTAAAGCAAGTGATGAACTTAGAAAAATTTAGCAATGGGGATAATATTTATACCAAATATAAATGTTAATTTTTTAAAATATATATAGTTCTAAATATTGATTAAAACAAAATATAAATAAATTATATGAGAATTTTAAAAACATATATTAATTTTATTTATGTCATAAATTTATTGTTATAATAAATATAAGAGTAAATAATATTTTTAAATACGTATGATTGGTAATTCTAAAGAGAATGTGAGACAACTGATTTTTTATGGCAGTAACTGCAATTTTAAAAGAGGGCAAGAATAATTTTAACTAAAAGGTGCATAATTTTTGCAAATTTCAGGGGGTAGTTGGCCCTTCTTTTCCTATAAACGTGAGTATGTCCTGACTAAGTGCCTATTTGGAAAATGTTGTTAATCAATTTCAAACGTCAAAATTATGTTTTTATAAAAATATATTTAAACACCTCTATTACATATTAAAATTAATTATGTATTTAAAATTATGTTTTTTAAAAATATATAAATACTCATTATATATATCAAAATTAATTTTTGAACCCAAAACTATGTTTTCTTTCAAAATCAATTATAAACCTAAAATATATTTGTAAAATAATTTATATGATTTTTGAATAAATTTTTAAAAAAGTATAATTGAAAATATGAATTGAAAAGTTGGTGATAGTAGCTTATGAGATGACCTTAATTTTGAGTTCATAATTGATTTTGGTATGTATGAGATGTTTGGATATTTTTAAGAAAATTATAATTTTGAGTTTATAATTGATTTTGGCATATATGATGAGTGTTTGAATTTTTTAAAAAAAAAATCATGATTTTAGATTGATAATTGATTTTAACATGTAATGTGGATATTTGGATATATTTTCACGAAATGATGGTTTTACTTTATTTTCAATTCTAATTAAAATTAATATTATTAATCAATTTTATAAATCAATTATATACCTTATAACATAATTAATCATATTCAAAATTAATCATATTAATTATTTTTTTAATCAATTATATCCACCTTAAAATCCAAACACACCCTAAAGCTTTTAATGATTTACTTTGAACCAAAAACTTGTTTTTAAAATAGCTATTTTAAGTTGGATGGATTGAAGTTGAACTATCATTAAACCAAAAAATGGAGTTGAGTAGAGAGCAAAAAAGATTTTAAAAAATCAGGACAGGTCTAAATATAATATGAAAGAAGCTAAAAATTTAAAAAAAAACAGAGAGAGAAATATTCAAAACTTAGACCCTATTAAAAGCTAACTTAGTTCTTTTTTTTTTCCTTTTCTTTTTTTGGACAAAGCTAACTTCATTCTTGAATCCTTCACATATATATAATATGATTGAGGACCATTTTTTTATAAAAATGTTAATAGTTATAAGTGCAAATACACATATTTTTAAACTTACATAGGTCTGATTTAATCAAGATTTACTTATATTTAACAAATTATAAAATTATAATTTATAATATTATTGATCTATGGTCATATTGTGCTACTTTATTGATAGCTAGATATAATGTGAATTTATTTCTTATATATATATATATATATATAATATTATTTTTTATTTAATTATTATATTACTGATTTAATTGATAATATGATTAGACTATAAAAATGGAGGCTCACTGGTATTTCCTATTTATATAAGCTCAGCTAAACATTGACCGCGAGAACGGCACATCGCATCGTCCAAACAACATGCTCGCCCCTGCCTTCCTCGCCTCTGTTCAGCTCTTTGCTCTCATTGTCGGACCACAATCAGACCTTCCTCATTTAATATATGAGCCCCAAATATTTTTATTTTTAAAATAAAAATAGAATCGTAATGTTATCTTAATTTCACTTTAATTTTTCCTTGTGTAGGACTCACTTATAAAGTATATATAGCCTATGCTCGTATATTTATTTCTCTCCTTCGTCCTTACTTTAAATGAAAATCCTTTGAGAGAATTCAAAATTCTTACAAACACATACTTATTTACCAATTTGAAGGAAACATTTCTGAAAAATTCTTCGGCAAGGAAAATATTTATTTTAAATTTTTGAAGGTTTGGCAGCGAAAATATATTTATCTATACTTTTGCCTGAAGAGATATCTTATATTTTTGTGATGTTTTCATGAGAACTCTGATATATTTTTCATATATCATGTACCTTAGACCTTCAAATGTATAAATAAATTTTAAAAGAGAGGAGGAAAAAAGCTTCATTTAAAAGTTATCGGGCTGTGGTTTGGACCTTTTGGATTCAGACTTTCTACAACGTTGTTGGACTAGTAAATACCCAAAGCAAAATTTTTTGTAATTTCATGCATACTTGCCTTTAGAACCGAGCCTAAACGATTAGGTTTAAAAGTTTTGTTCAAATAAAAGTTTAGATTTTAAAAATTAATTTTTTTAAAAAATTAATTGGACTTGACGGTTTGGCTCTGATAAACCCTGAAAAAAAGAGCTTAGGCTCGGATGGCCCTTCAAGCCCTGATAAACTAGATTATATTATATATATGTATACACATACATACATATATTTAACTGACAATGACACAATTTGGTTAATATTTATTGTAGGTGATGAAGAAGATGTTATAGAGATAATTGACATTAAATTTTCACTTCCATCTTCAACAAGTGAACCTACATTTGAGGAATCTAATATTTTATTTTTAAATAATAATGAGAAGGATTTAGATTTACATTGATGAAGATTAAAAATCTTCATCTTAAATTTAAAATTTTAAATCTTTGTTGAATTTTATGTGAAACTTTAATTTATTTTATGTTAAATTTTAGAATATTCTGTTTAAATTAAAATGTTAAACTTTTTTTGAAAAAGAGGATTTAAGGGTCCGATCCTAAGTCCTATAAATAAGAACTGAGTTTTAAAATTAGGTCAAATTTTAAATAACTGGACTTTAAAGCCTGAGCCTTTAAGGGCCGGGCCCATAAAGGCTAAGTCCATAAGCGTCAAGTTTGCCCTGATTTCCACCTCTACTTGCCTTAGGTTGATGTATCTTTTGGTTTGAAGTCAATTTAGCTTAATAATGGTGCTGTTTGTATCCAAAATAATAATAATAATAATAATGGTACTTTTTACAGCTCATGAACTATATAATTTGCTAAGCTAGTTTTTTTTCTTATTAGTCACTCCATCCAAATCATAATATAGAGTATCTTTTAGAAATTTTAGTTGATCCAAAATACAAGACGCAAGGTAGTTTTTATAATTATTTTTTCAACTATATCCTTAATTCATTTATCATTCTTTTTGGAAAAAAAAAATGAAGCATTAAAATTTTAATTGTTATTATTAAAACACTTATATAAAATATTTAAGTATAATTAAAAATATATAAATTTTGTTAAGAGATTAAGATTTTATTTAACTCTTTTTTTAAAAAAATCATAAAATGCTTTATCGTGTTCTAGAATGAGTGTTATATGACATCCCTCAGAAAAAACTAGTCCATTAATAAAGTTTAACACCACAAGAAAAAAAAAAAAAAGCCACTTCGTTACAAAAATAACAGGAAAAATTATAATTAAGGACCACTGACCACAATTAATTGCTTTGCCAAATCAAATAATTCTCATATTACTATGCAAAATCAAAGGATCTAAATATTATTAAAATTTGTTGTGAAAAGATAAAGCTATCCCTCATTTATGTGTATTGTGGCCTCTTAATTTTTAGATAATAAATAAATTATAAAATTTGAGTGTTTGTCTAGGATTCAAAATTAGAAATTCTTATTGTTTTGAGATTTAGAATAGATAAATTTGTATTTGAAATTATTTGTTGTTTATC